TGATGAGTTATGTGAACGTATTTATTTATTGTAATTAATCTGATATGATTTTTCATGATATGAGGGAATCATGTAATTTGGTATAGCATGATAGAACAGAACATGCATGTATTGATATATGTTATAAAGTGCATTATAAGTTTTTATGCCTCACTAAGTCATAGACTTAGCGTGTGATTGTTTCACACGTAGGTTACAGAAGCTAGAAGAGAAACGAAGAAGAGTAAGACAGGTCAGCACCTCCCTTACAAAAATTTCAGATCAGAAAATAGAGAATTTAAATGTAGTTGGTTATTTTGAGTATAGTTGGCATGTACTAATTGGTTGTATTAGTTATGCTCTGATTTATTTTGGGTATTGTGGTCAATTTATGTAACTAAACTGCTTTTACTTTAATGAAATGTTTAAATTTTCTTTTAATTTTGTCAAGAGTCAAAGTTTGATAAGTCAATGTGACACCTCATACTCGTATCCGGGTCGGATACGGGTTGGGGGTGTTACATGGTGCATCGATGCACTAGTGGCAGGTGCATGGATGGACTGCAGGGGTGAATGGATGCACTGCAGGGGTGCATGGATGCACTGCAGGGGTGCATGGATGCACTTTGACACCCTTTAGTATTTTGGCTCAAATCCGAATTTAATGGAATTTGAATTATTTTTGAAACCTTTTTAAAACTTTGAATAAATTCAATTCAAGTCCAAAAACATTTTGCCTTTAAATTTGTTATATCGAAACATAATTCAACAGATACCATTGATAATTGGACCAGCCACTTATAACATAGAGTTCCTGGTGATGGAAATCATGCCTTCTTACAACTTCCTTTTAGGAAGGCCTTGGATCCATCAAGCTGGGGCAGTACCATCAACACTGCACCATAAAGTCAAGTTTGTTATCGACAGAACTCTGATAATTATCAATGCTAAAGAATATATATTGGCAAGCGTGACCACTGACGCCCCTTACATAGATGTGAATGGGGAGGCCCTAGAGTGCTCATTCCAATTATTAGAGTTCGTTAATTCCATATTTATGGCTGAAGGGGGTAAGATTTCCAAACCCAAGCTTTTAGAATGCACCAAAATAGAAATCAAGCAGACTTTGGAGAAATGTGCAAAGATAGGAAGAGGCTTTGGGAGTGATTTACAAGGAAAAGTTAGCCCCGTCTTTCCTATTGTCAAGTTAGACCAGTTTGGGCTAGGATTTCAGAATTGATTATTTTACCAAATGGGTGGAGGCTTCATCATATGTCAGTGTCACTCAGTCCACCATTTGCAAATTCTTGAAAAAAAATATCATATGTCGGTATGGTTTACCATAAAAAAATCATTACTGGTAATGCAACAAATTTGAACAACAAGATGATGGAGGCTCTCTGTGAACAATTTAACATAAAACATCACAACTCTACTGGTTATCGACCAAAGATGAAAAGAGCAGTAGAAGCATCAAATAAAAATATCAAGAAAATAGTTAAGAAAACTACTGAGACATATAAAGATTGGCACGAAAAGTTACCTTTTACCTTGTTTGATTACCAAACTTCGGTGCGAACTTTGACTGTGACAACCCCATTTTCATTAGCATATGGGATGGATGCGATATTGCCCATTAAGGTGGAGATCTCATCACTCCGGGTTTTATCATAAGTTAAATTGGATGATGCATAATGGATGCAAACTCGATATGATCAACTGAACTTAATAAAAGAAAAAAGGTTTAAATCCATTCACTATGACCAACTCTATCAAAAACGAATGATCTGAGCACACAATAAGAAGGTGCGCCCAAGAGTACATGAAGGAGATATTGTCCTGAAAAAGATATGGCCAATCCAAAAGGAAAGTGGATGCCAAATTGGGAAGGGCCTTATGTCGTGAAAAATGCCTTCTCTAAAGGAGCACTCGTCTTGACAGAAATGGACGGGCTGGAACTACCAAATCCTATGAACTCTGATGTAGTCAAGAAATATTTTACTTAGGGTGAAAACCAGAAAGGGTACTCTAAGTTAAAAAAAAGAGAAAAAGAAATAGTTTTAAGAAAAAAAGAGGTTTAGAGTGAAAACCCAAAAGGGCACTCTAAATAAAAATGAAAATGTAGGTCCAAGATGAAAACCCGCAAAGGGCGTCTTGAAACCGATGGAGGATCCAAGTTAAAACCCGAAAGGGTGGCTTGGATGTTGATTCAGGATTCACGCATGGGAAGGTCCCGGATCAAGGCAATAAAGCATGGCGGCATCCAAGTCTTCAGGAAACTTAGTAATTTGGGAGGAACTTTGCATATGCATTTTAGGCATGCATAAGAACATGGCATTCATGACATCCCAATATGCATAATTTTATAGATTTTTGTCAAAGTCAATTTCAACTTCACGACGAGGGATATTGAACTCAAAGAAACAATAAAACTTATCTTAGTTGGATTTCAACTTCACAATGAAGGATATTCATTTCACCACGATTTCAATTGGGACTCAACTTCACAACAAAGGATATCGTACCCAAAAGTATTGGCTTAGCTTGACATCAAATGAGTCATCTACAACATAGTTCCTCTCAACAACAAGGAACTATCTCTCAGCTATGGTCATCTAGTCAAATTCCTACTTCACAACGAAGGGTATTAGGCTAGAAAGAGGCCTAAAATCAAACCAACGGCGAGGATTTAACGCTTAATCCAAGTATTGAGCTAGATTTCAACTTCACAGAGAAGAATATCATGCTCGAGACATTCAAGATTGGTCAACTTCATAACAAATGGATCAACCACGATTTTAACTTCATGACAAAAGATATCGTATTCAAAGACATCTCATGATCGACTCAACTTTACAACGAATGAGTCACCCGCAATATTAACTCCACAGTAGAGGATAGTCGATAAAAGTTTTGACTGCAACATTGAGTAGAATTTTAAACTCCGAGATTGACAACCCTCACAGGAGCACGCTTATTTTCAAGTTCATATGCACCGAACGAAAATTTATGTCTTTTCGTCTTTGCCCTATTTTTGTTGCACGATAATGGGCAAAGAGGGGCAGCTGTAGTCACTCATTTTCGTCCGGGGTTTATTTAGTATATATATAATAAATATAATGTAGTGTTTGAAAATAGTTTTTGAAAACATATAATATATAGTTTTCAGAAAACATTTTTTAAAAGCATATAATATATAGTTTTTAAAAAATCGGTTTTGGAAAATATATAATATGGTTTTGAAAATATTTTTAAAAAAACATATATATTATATAGTTCTGAAAATATATTTTTTAAAACATATAATATACGTAATTTTAAAAACGATTTTTGAAAACGTATAATATAATTTTTGAAAACATATTTTTGAATATATAGTATATAGTTTTTATTATTATATTTATAATATATTATTATTTATATTATATTATATTATTTATTTATTTATTTCATTTTTTTATTTCATGTCCAAATTAAGAGTCCAAGTCCATAGTTTAAGTCCAAGAAGTCCAGCAAGGGACCAAATCTGGATCCAGCAAGGAGCCCAACAGAGTAGGCTAGCCTGACCCAGCAAGCCAACGCGAGAAGCCTAGCAAGCCAGATTAGGGTTTTAAACTCAGCAAGAGCGCCGCACAGATGGCGCGTGGTAGCCATGCACAATAACCGATCGAGATTTTGGCAGAGCCAATCGGAGCATCATGGGATTTCCGGCCAATAACGACCTCAAGCTCGAGTAAAATAGGGACGAGAGGAAACAACTCCCGAAATGAACGGAAATAAACCGGTGGGGGCTATATAAATACCACGACGAAAGGGACGAAAAATCCATCATGGAGTAACCCAAGAAGCAACCAAAAAACACAAAGAAACATCGCATAGCAACACAAAGAAAAAGCAAACAAGTATCAAGCAACCAAAACAAAAAAAAAATCGAATATTCATAAAAAATCACAATGAGCCAAAGTTTTTTTTTTTCTCGAAGAATCGTCGGAAAAGAAATAGACGCCGGAGCTAGGAAGGACGACGCCAAGAAGTGGAAAGGCCTTACCAGTATGGTAAAAAAATCGAAAGTTCTTTCGTAGATCGACGCCTGTGGGGGGTTTAGAATAACGGGGGCTCGTTTTGTTTTTGGGGTAGCGAGAGGAACATTTCGGGGGTGTTTTGATTTTCTGACCACCAGAGGCGGTAGCCGGAGCGACGGTCCGGACGGTGGGACTTAGTCGGTAAGTGACCGGCCTTTGGCTGAGAAGTATTAGATCAGATACTAAGAATATTGATTTTAGTTCCTATTCTTTTTTTAAAAGTATTTTAATGTTTCAATTTGAAGCAAAAAACCCATTCTATAGATCAAAATCATTATTTAATACACGATTAACACTTTAAAATAAGAGCCTTTTAAACATAAAATAAAATATTGAAGACTAAAATACCCTAAAAAAAATAATAGACATAATGATTATTTTATCAAATACTAAGAATATTTTTACCCTTAAATGAATCGATAGGTGCAAAAATACTCAAAAAAAAATAGACTAAGGGTCATAATGATTAGTTTTTCAAAGATAAACGTTAAAGGTTATTTTTAATATTATACATTAATTTTTTATAATTATTTGTCTATAAAGTAATATAATTATTTGTTTATAAAGTAATATAATTATTTGGAAGTAATATAATTTATTAAAAAACTTATAATTAATAAAATTTATCTCTAAATTAACAAACAATAAATAAATGATAAATATCTATTCAAAAGACAAATAAGGATAAATATCACCCAAACATTAATATATATATATATATATATATATATATATATATATAATTTGGACAAAATTAACAACAACTGTGTGGACCCCATTACCTTATACGTCATACTGTGATGGGTCCCACTTACTACCATATATATATATATATATATATATATATGAATAAAATAAAGCCCTAAACATGCGTTGCGCAGTTCTTTGATTTTTCTCACCATTCTTCTTCCTTCCCCTCTGTGACTCCTCCCTCCAACAATGGCGGACTATGGAGTAGGAATCTCTCTCTCTCAAGCTCACACTTCCGATGGTGACTCATCCGAGCACAGCCCTCGAAGTGCACCAACTCTCTCCGCCTGTGGCGGCGGAGACGGCGGTTCCAAGTCTAAAACTCCTTGCAACAAGATCATTACCCTCGATCAATGCCACCAAACTCCTTCGTCATCGGAGAACACTGTTAGGAAGCCGAGAGGGAGACCTCCAGGGTCCAAAAACAAGCCCAAGCCACCCATCGTTATAACCAGAGACAGTAACTCAACGATGAAGCCAGTGATTCTCGAGATCTCTCCCGGTTCTGATATCATCGACGCCATCATCGGCTTTGCTCGTACGAACAGTGTTGGTGTTAGTATCATCAGTGTTACCGGTTCTGTATCAAACGTCACTCTCCGCCATCCCGTTCCTCACGCGGCGGCTCTCTCTCTTCATGGACCCTTTGGTCTACTCTCTTTGTCTGGCTCGTTCATTGCCAGAACAAGCCAATCGTTTTCATCGTCAACAACAAAGCCGCCATCGCCGTTCGGTGTGACTCTTGCGGGGGCTCAGGGGCAGGTGTTTGGGGGGGTAGTCGGAGGGAAAGTGACGGCGGCGACACAGGTGATTGTGGTTGCGGCTACGTTTACAGAGCCCGAGCATCATTTGTTGCCGTGTGAAGGAGATGATAAGGATCATCATCATCATCAGGAAACCAAGTCCGGTGCTGCAACCGAGTCTGTTTATGGAGTAGCGAGTCCCACTCCACTTAATTGTCAAATGCCTCCTGATGTAATGCCTTGGGGTCCTTCCTGTCGTCCTTACTAGGTATCTTTGCAGCTCTTCATTGCATCTTTGGAGTTTTTAAACATATATTAATGGTTTTTGAACTAAAAGCTTGCAGGATTCTTTCACGGAGGATGGTGGAGGTGATGGTGATGACTTCAGTTTTAGGCTTTTGAGGTACTCAGTGTTAACCTTTTTCCCTCGGGAAGGTCTCTTCTTTTTTTCCTCAGAAATATAAGGCGAAAAGGGCTGAGATAAATAGGGTTAAGTGAAAGGTGTAGGAGTCTATTATATACTGCTTCTGTTGGCTTTTTTCAATTCACTGAGCTATCTGTTCTTTCATGTCTTCTCGTAGAGCAGCAGATCAGTAGCTTTTATGTTATGATTTGGCTTGACCTAACTCTTTCAACTCCATAGGAACTGATGCTAGTTTCTAATATATTTATTTTCTTCCATGATAAATTGCTAATGATATATATATATATATATATATATATATATATATATATTGGATATAAGATTTTATATTTGAGTTTTACAATTTTAAAATTAAATTATTAAAAATATATTTAAAAAAGTAATTAAGTTATATAAATATTTAAAGAGAAACATTTTTTTTATTTTTCTCTCCAATCATCCTTAGTGATAATCGTATATATCTGTGACTATTTATAAAAAAATGCTAAAAGTATACAAACAAATTAATTTAAATAATGAATTCATCACGTAGTTTTAATGATAAAAAGAGTATTTTTTTAAGATTTTGAATTTGAATAGTTGTGTCTTTAAGATATATATTGTCAATAGATTAAAAAATTCATAGTAGATATTGTTTTGTAACTATCTTTGATTATTAAAAAATTAAATTAATTTAAATTAATTGAGTTCGTTGGGTGGCTTTAAAGATAAAATGGAGTGTTGTTATTCTTAAAAATTATGTGTTTGAGTAGTATAATCTTTAGAAATGTGTGTTATTAATAAATAAAATAACTAAAAGCAGATAGTATTTTGTAATCAAACAAATTATGTATATTTAATAACTGTATTTATATTTATATTACATTTTAGGTAACATATCATTTTTACCTTAAATTAAGATTCTTTTCCTAAAATTCCTTCTGTTTTATCGATTCTATTCGGAATAACTATAATTAAATTGCAATTATCATTTAGTTGGTATAAAACGTGGTTGATCTTTTAGCTATGCAAAATATCAATGGGTCGATTTTATTGAAATACTTTTATGGATAATCAAGTAACTTAATATTCTGGTATTCGAATGAACTCATCTCAATCATCTTTCTTACATCTCAACTCGTCATATAACCAATCTACTCTTGATGAAAATCTTTTCTTCGGATCATTAGTTAATCTTTTATCAATCTGTCCACATAGATAAGTCTCGTATTAGTTCACAATTAATAATATAACCACAAAGTTATAAGTACTTTGGGAAGAGAGATTCCACGGGACATTGAATGTTAGATTGTAACTCCACTCCTCAACCACGAGTGTGATGAAACTCAAGTATCCCAAACTATTTCTAGATATAATCCTAAAGAAACATAGTATCATTCACTTAGTTTAATGCCCCGTGCACCTGGACTCCACATGAATCTAGGAGCACCTTGATAATTCTACATGCTAACTCATGATGAATATTCCAGGTGAACTCATTAATTCAAGGGTAAAGTATAGTAATGGTTATTAAATTTTTCTAAAGTTTTCATTTAGGTCCCATAACTTTTAAAACTTGCAATACAGTCCTCCAACATTTAGTCCATTTGCAATATGATCCCGACGTTACACTACCATTAGTACGTTTGCAATATGGTCATTAAACTTTTTAGGAGCTTGCATTTAGGTCCCCCAACTGTTAAAACTTGCAATATGGTCCTCAATTTCATTATAAACCCCAAATTCTTTTTCAATCTCGAATTTCCTTTTTCGCTTCTCTATTCTCATTTCTAGCGTAATTTTTCAGTCGGGGATGCATGGAAAATTCTAATCTAACTTTGAATTATGTGGAGGTGTTGACTTGAATAAGGGTCCATTGAGAGAAGACTCGACTAAGGGATTACCGGGACCATCAACGATTCAAGGTGTAATGTTAGATACAGGTCATCTCAGGTGAAGCATAGATGTTCGATGAAATGCTTGTGAGAAAAAATGGGGTTAGAAATGCAGAATTGACAAATACTACTAAGATGAAGTAAGTATCATTGTTGAAAGTCATCAGCAAAGCTGGAATTATTTTGTATAAATGGTATATAATAATTTATACGTTTAATCCTTGTGGTTAAAGATTTTCCAATAGATGATCAAATATAATGAAATCTCAAACAGCGCATTCACCTCTCAGTCTCTTTCGCTCATATGCACTCTCGTTTGGGTTTTGTTCTTCAATTTTCCGTCATGTAAAATTGTAAACCCAAGCAGTACTATGTCTTTCAGCTTTTTATTTACAAAAAAAATGGAGGAAGTTTCTGGAATGCAACACCGATTGCGTTTATTTCTTAGTTTCTCCCCTCACTTGCAAGAAGGTATTTATTTTCTCTTTTGGGCTATCTGAAAGTAAGCTTTTCCTCTTTCACACTTTCTCGTTTTTAGCTCGCATTGTGTGTTTTTTGTTGAAATTTTTATGTTTCTGGAATTGTATGTCAATGATCTGGATATTCAGTGTTAGTTTTGAACTAAAACCATCTAATTTTCTTTCTTTTTTCTTAATCAAAACTTTTAGTACTCTTTATGAAAGATATTCAGTCCATCAAAATATAAGTGAAAGAGGGTCCTAGGCTAAATTTTTTTGATCTTCTTGTTTGGTTTTTCTTTAAATCAGGGAATTGGTTGTAAGTATCGACATAGTGAAATCGCCAGGCTCAATCCGAGAGACTGTTGGTACTAGTTTACTGGAATTGTATTGATCCGACTTGCGGTTTTCGACGTCCTGTGAGCTCGTATTCTTTTTAATAAGCTCATGTTGATTATGAGACTGATATATCGTGAATGAATTGAATTTTTTTTACATGTTTTGGAAATTTTATAGTTGAATTGTATTGAATTATAGCTTTAGAAGACAATTATACATACACGTAACTCGAAATGCATCATGACAAAGTAGTATATTTGGAGCAGCTACTTGACCCTATCATGATGCCTTTCAAGTTGCGAAAGAGACTAAGAGGTGAATGTGATGTTTGTGATTTCATTATATTTGATCATCTGTTGGAAAATCTTTAACCGCAAGGATTAAACGAATAAATTATTATATGCAATTTATACAAAATAATTTCAGCTTTGCTGGTGACTTTCAACAATGATACTTAGTTTATCTTAGTAGTATTTGTCAACTCTGTATTTCTAACCCCATTTTTTCTCACAATCATTTCATCAAACATCTATGCTTCATCTGAGATGACTTGTATCTAACATTACACCTTGAATTGTTGATGGCCCCAATAATCCCTTGGTCGGGTATTCTCTCAATAGACCCTTATTCAAGTCAACACCTCCACATAATTCAAAGTTAGATTAGAATTTTCCGTGCATCCCTGACTGAAAAATTACGCTGGAAATGAGAATAGAGAAGTTAAAAAGGAAATTTGAGATCGAAAATGAATTTGGGGTTTAGAATGAAATTGAGAATTGTGTTGCAAGTTTTAAAATTTGGGGTACCTAAATGCAAGCGCTTGAAAAGTTCAGTGACCATATTAAAAATGTACTAACGACAGTGTAACGTCAGGGATCATATTGCAAACGGACTAAATGTTGGAGGACTGTATTGCAAGTTTAAAAGTTGAGGGACCTAAATGAAAGTTTTAGAAAAGTTCAGTGACCATTACTATACTTTACCCTTAATTTAATTATATATAGCGTGCAATTTCCGCGCATCATTTGAAATGCAAATTCTTCCACCCCTTCAAAAAGGAATTAGACAACAAGACTTATTATTCCTTTGTTTTTGTGACATGTATGGAAAAATTATCTCAAGCTATATATGCTCAAGTGGATAATGGCCATATATCTCATTTATTTTTCTTCGACGATTCAGTGTTCTTTGTCAAAGCTATTATCTATCAAATTTGTGGTATGCGCATAGTATTAGAGATTTTACAACAGCCTCGACCACCGGATGACCTCTAAAATCAATATGTTTCTCCAAGAATGTTGTGTCAACTCTTCGAACAGAGGAAGTATTTGGGTGTATCCTTTCTGCACTATAAAGTTACCAAAGTGACCTCTGGCTACCCCCTCGATAGGATACGCAAGTGTCTCTTGGGATGGGGAACCGAAACGCTTTCCCTTGTTGGAAGAATTACGTTGGTCAAGTCGATGTTGTAGGCCAGGGCACAAGACTCAAATTTGATGGGTTTAGACTAAAACCAATCTAAAAATAATAATTTAAATTTATCTTTTATATTTATGAATAATTATAACAATAATTTTTATATATTAATTTTTTCAATTAGATCTTTTTTTTATTTAAAAATAATATTTATATTTATTTATTATTTTGGATTGAGTCGGATTTGAATTTTATATTTAAAGGTCGGATCAGATTTGAGTCAGATGAAATCAACCCTAAACTCGAGTTGAATTTCAGGTAAAGGGTATATATTTTCGAATCAAGTCTGGTTGAGCTAAACCCGATCCATACAAATCCCTAATACTGATTTACGTCTTTCAGTCTCCGTGGGTTCAAACATGGGGAAATTGATTCTGAATTTTGTTTAGGGTTCGTTAACCGAGAAGAAACGAGCCAGCTTGGTAAATTGGAATTCGACGGAAAAACATCCTTCTAAGTGTGGGGCAGGCTTCAAAGACATGATCATGTAAAATAAAGCATTTCTTATGAAGGTAGGCTTCAAATTATTAACAGAGAGAGACAGATTATGCGTGGCACAATCACTCCGGACGAGGAATTGCTCACGCCTATGGAAAGGAGTTAGCACTGTTTTGAATGACGCTCGGGAGAGCATTCGAGATGGTGGCGGTATTAGATTTTGGTTTGATTCATGCATTATTCGTTAGAAAGGTGGATT